GAACAATATTATTTTATTTAGGAATATTATAACTAATTATCAAACTGACCCATTTTTATTTCATGTCCGATCTTAAAGCATTGATTTTATTTCAAAGCATAACCCTCCTTCAACATTGTTCGGAAATTTGTTTTCAACTAGTTTTAAGCTTTTGATGCTCTTGTCGATGACACGATTCTTACCACAATATTCCTCCATTCAGTTGATTTTAGAACGTTACCAAAAGTTGACACCATAAACGAAAGTTCATGCTGCACATAAACATACCCTAGCAATATGCCTTGCCAGCAAGCATACGGCCAGACTCAACAAATCAACCCCAAAACATTTGGAATCAAGCCATCTCGTTTCTTGCGCCTCACGTTCATATAAACTTCTTTCCCAAACCACCCCGGCCTCAATCACGATGGAAGTTTGTCTTTGTAAATGATCCAACAGCGTTGGCAGCAGGGAAATAGTCACCCCAGTCACAAGATGCTACCAGGAGTCAATGCGTCAGAAATGCTTCAGAACCATTTGTACGAATTATTTTCCTTACTATTTCTTCTTGGAATCGCTTTTCGTATAACATAAATATATTTGCACAGAAATGACACATGTTTTTCCGTGAAGCTCAGATGAAAATTGTGGCAACAAAATGAGCTTACAGGATGGAAATCATTCTCCACGGGTTCACCCGATATGATGGCAACTTGGTGCCATCAGCCAGTTGTACGTGACAGAATCCTTTCCCATCTGGTGGCTTCCCTCCGAACCATATGAAGACGCTGTGGGTTGGCTGCCGAGCTGACTTTGAAGTGTGTTTCATCTGATTTGACAGGGCTTCCTGCTTCACCTGCACTGACTGAAGACGACAGCAAGGTGGAGGACTTATTTTATGAGATGATACCTGCAGCCTCAGCAGTGCGAAACGATGTTGCGCTACGATGTGTTCAAGGGAGAACATTACTTTTTTAAAAGGAAAACAAAAATCTGTAGGAAGGTCGAAACCTGATGGCCTTCTTGGGAACGTGATGTGGAAAGTAAGAGGATAATGAAAATGAATCAATTCCGGAACGTGGAGGTGGAGGCGTTTTCCAATCATTTCTATTTTATTACGGCCTCTGAACAGATGAAGACGTAGAGCGTTTGATCAGCTCTTATTGGAAAGGTGTATATCTTTATTTACTGTTCTATCTGGAAATTCGTTCTCGGTAATCAGGAACCAGTCTTCTAGAAATAAGTTTTTTTCTCATGGATTTTTTGATAGCATTCGCATTTAAACTACTCCGTTGAAGAAACTGACGGAAATAAAGTTTGATTAATTTTAGTCAGTACCTCAAATTTTCTGGTACTTCTAAACTTCTAGTTCGAAACCAATGGCTGTCATCCCAGATAAAATGGGTCCTAAACGGGACTGCTAGGCTAATAGGCTAGAATAGGTGCCTGCCTGTCTCATTTTAAGTTTTATGGCTGCTGAACGTAGCTGTCCACTAAGCTTGACTGCATTACGTTTTTGTAAAAATCATAATTTGTAGAGAACTTCCTTCAATAACCTCCTCAATATGCTTCAAAAATGCTCGAATGTAAATGAAAATGTTTGTATGAAAATCTTACATTATCAGTAATGGAGAAAATACATTTCTACGATTTGGAGAACATATCTGAACAATAAAAACATCCGTACTCAAGGAGCAGCTATTTCCAATCATGTTTACTAAAGACCGATGATTTTTCCTGCACCATTGCTGAATGTATGTCGAAGAACTTACTTCTGAACCGTGATACGCAGTACTGTGACTCATACATGAACCGTACCTATGTACACAGACTGAAAAAAAAAATACAAAATTTATTGATTGAGAAGCAAAGGTCTGCCATACCACTCATGTCACTTTCTCGTTCACAGCTTCTACCAGCCCGATTTATCGAAATAAAATCGACCCTTCATACCACCTGTCACGCTAACTTTAAGATTGATAGACTTCCCTACTTGCATGCATCCGTGAAACGGTACTGAACCGATTAATTCCATCATGCTGTCGAATAAATAGGAAAACTTTTCCAGACTTGAATTTAAATTTCACTTGATGCAAAGTGATTTCCTAATCGCTGAAAAAAACAAAACCTAGTTATCTCACCAAACAGTGACGGAGCAGCGAGCAAAAAAAAAACGAATCACACAATATGTCTCCAATCGATCCCCGACCGACGGTGCAGACTACAATGTTCGTTCCGGCGAAACGAAAGGGTTCTAGTTGTCTGATTAGGCGGAAAATTGAATTTTAACAGGACAATTTCGTCGCACCGTGTGACTTGCTTTTCATCAAGCGACCTCCAGAGGAGCGCAATAAAAAAGGATTAGAGAATTTCCTTTCATTGGATTTACGATGCTCCTCGTCAAGGATGCGATTACGTTTTACGACCCGGAACGTGATGGGATTTATACGAGTGAGCATAAAATTCAACTTAAGTTGAAAACTCATTACTCTCTGCCGTACGCCTTGCAGGGGAGAAAAGTTTGGCTCAAAATTAATTATTAGGTTGTTAATTCTTTTCTGCATTTTTCATATGTTTGTGTCTTGTCTTGTCTTGTGAGAGTAGAAACTTGCTGCTGAATCATTGACACATAATTAATGGGACTTGCTTATGGAGAAGCTAGATGAGGCAACACATTTTGCAACTGAGGCGTATCAAGATTCCAGTTTTGTTTGCTTTCATGATGAATCCTGTGAGGCGTTTGCTGGGAAATGGTATAATAACATCGTTTTCCAAGGAACATCAGTCATATGTTTACCGGCTGAAATTCTTGTTTTTGTTTGCCAAAGTTTCATTGCATAACATTTCCATCGAAATACATAATGCTGAAGATGATTAAGGTGTGAAGCAGTATCATTTTGTATGTAACTGTTACCCAGTATATTACCTTGTTTAATCTGCGTCTTCTTTTGTATCTAATTCATTTGTCAGTTTTAGATCTGCATAAGCACGACAGTACAAAAACAATTCTGATAGCAAGTTCTATAAATAGGAAAGAGTAGACACACTTGATCCCCTGTTTCAATTTTGGTTTTATCACACCGTAAAAATCAATATTTTAAGTGGCGGGTTCTCAACCAATCGCTCTGATTTCCTGCGAGTGACTACACACTTAGAAATAACTAATTTTTTCATGTGACGGAATCCATCTTTCACATAAAAGATGAAACGTAAACAAACATGTCATGTAATATTTAGTGCTCCGAGACTGAAAAGTTCGTTGCTCGACGAAAAGTACGTTTGATTGAGCTATATTTCACATCTGTTATGATTCAAATTTCTGTCAAAATTGACGCTCGTATATGTCACTTTCAGAGCACCTAAATTTACATGAATGTTTCTAAGTGTGTAGGGTTGCTTCCACTCACTTCAGTATAAAAATTATTTTTCGGTTTTATAAAATCATTAGATGTTATAATCATATTTTGTACTTGTCAGTTACCAGAAGATGTTGTGAAAAATGTACCGTTCAGATTCATGTTTTGGGTCACCGTTCGGTTTTCAAATGTATTTATTTATTTATTTACTCTCGATGGTTGACGTCTAAATAGAATTGGATATGGAAAAGCCAGTAGGCATTGGCGTAAAAACCAATATAATTTAAAACCAATTACAAAGCAAATTTAACACAAAATATATCACTAATATAAAACATTTGCATTCGCATTAAGCAAGATGCTGACATTAATAATAGCACTGGAAATAGAATAAGACATAGTAAAAATTGAAAAGAAGGGGACTGACCTGGATTTTAACTCCCGACCTTTTGCTCAGTAAATAGAAACGGTAACGACTAAGCTACCGAGCTCGGGATCGGGATCGGGACAGTAAAAAAAACAATTTTGATGTAACTGGAAATTTATAGCAGTTCAAATATATCATTTGAAAATTAGTGATGGCCAGGAAATGTTCCGGATTCTTAAAGGAGTTTAAAACTGATTTTTTCATCACTTGTATTTTTTTCTGCTATGAATATTTATTTGAATTCAGATTTTTTCCTGATACCTACTAGAATCCATTTTGAACTCAATGCTGGCCTCAGATTCAAGATCTGTTGAGTAACAACGAGATCAAGCCATTTCCTTGAAATTGGTTCCGGTAAAGTGGCCAGTTAATGTTAATCTTTTGAATCACGTCAATATGGGTATCATGATTTTTCTGCGCAATGTTGCGATGGCCATCCTGAAGCAGGTTCTGAGTTCCCCGTAGGAAGTGACCTATGTCACAGTGACCATAGGACTCTAGATTTGGCGTAAATTTACATGTAATTTCGTGTAAATTTAAGTGCGATATCGCATAAATCTGTGCAGTCCTAAACTGTCTACATGGTTTATTAACAACCTATTTCGGTTCTCTATGAACAATTGCATATGTACACGGAATGGTGGAGAGCACAGTAATACCAATCTCCAGAAGTTTTAACTTTTTATTTGAATACAATCTGTCTTCATTCTGTCATCACACCGGGAGAACTTGTTCAAAGATTTTATTGGCTTAATTCTGTTCGATTCAAGCCACGTATTCCAGGGATCAATTAACTCGGGGTTTTTGGATTACTGAGAATATGAAAGATATTTTCTATTCAAAACTTATTTCTTCTTTCTTGGTGTACTTCCGGAGACGAACCAGCGTTCGGCTGAAAGTCTCCTTAATAAAGATAGCTAACTCTTTCTTGGTCGATTAGATTCCAATCGTATTTATATTTATTGCTCTCCATCAACCGCCAGCTGTCCACACACTGAAAGCTGGCACAATGATTTGCGCTAACCTTGTTTCCATATAGGTACACCTCTCAGTAGATCCAAAAAAGCAAAACAAAACATTCGAGAAAACGCTTTTCCGCTTCAAAGTGTTTGGCTATTTGTTATTCATAGAATTTATCCCCCTTCCAGATGTTTTCCTTCTCAACTCCATGTTTTCGTTTTCGGCCGTCGGTCAATTTCATTATCGGTTATTCCTTTTGCTTCGATTGCTTCTTCCAGGTGTCGGTGCCGATTGTTAGCAATGACCGCTGCAAGTCGATGTTCCTGAGAGCCGGCCGACACGAGTTCATCCCGGATATTTTCCTCTGTGCTGGTCACGAAACCGGCGGTCAAGACTCCTGCCAAGGCGATTCGGGTGGACCTCTACAGGTAAGATGAAAATGGCCACTCCATGACCGAATGAGCGGGGCAACGATTGTCATCAATAAAGTGCCGTTTTAATTGCTCTTTTATGCAGAAGCAATAAGTTTTAATGTTTTTCTTTTTTTTTTGTATTTCACAGGTCAAAGGAAAGGATGGTCACTATTTCCTCGCTGGAATCATATCCTGGGGCATTGGGTGCGCTGAGGCCAACCTACCCGGTGTTTGCACGAGAATATCGAAATTTGTCCCTTGGATTATGGATACCGTTTTGTGATAGAGTTTTTAGAATGATGAACGGTTGACAATGGATGTCGGAGAGCGTGTAATGGAAGAAGCGAAAAAGTGTTCAATCAGTAAACGGAAAAGACTTGATTTTTTTTTATTTAGCGCAATGTACTGACAAAGAACGGTTAGACTATGTACATATTCGATGAATTTGTTTGAGATGAGAATCGCCGCATAGCTTCAATTCTAGTGAATCAGGAATTGCCTACACGAAACATAACGTTAGGAAACCACTGTATAATTTGTATAACTAGAATGTAAAATCGTAGCACTGCCTGTGTAAATACCTCTGTACCATATATTATTCAACAATAATGTTAGATCAATTCATTAGCAATGTATATAACCTATCAAACTTATGCGCAATAACTTTGCAATATTGTTAACACAACAGTTGTTAATTTGTATTTATATGCAAATAAATCAAATATTATAACGTCTTTCCAAAGATTTAAATTATGGGCCACAAAAGCTTTCCGAATATCCGAACGCCATGTTACAATATTCTGTGAATGATTCTTCCACCGTTGCTGATGGCTGCGTACACTCCAAGCAGTACCCAAATACCCAGTATTAATTTAGCTGAAACGGAACGTTGTATAATTTCAATCTGATGTCTGCTTATTTTTAACTTACCACAGGAGAACACTAAAATCCAGAAGATCCACGAACTCTTCTTTCCCTCTGTGTTGATGAGGGTGAAAATTTTCGAGAACACAGTCACAAAGAATATTTCCTCCAGAAGTGCATAGATTATGAAAACTTTGATAAGAGTTATGTTGTTCTGCAATACAAAACATGAGTTACAAATTCTCAAAATGAACAACATTCTACTCACATTGAATATTCCAATAATGAGCAACATTCCGGGTACCATCTTGATGAGCGTTGTTATTATGTGATATGGTATGAAGTCATCTGAAAGTGAGTAGCTTTTCAATGTAAAAAAAACCAAATAGACCTTCTAAAACTACACCAACCCAAATGCCCGTAGAAGTCGCACACGTTCTCCACCAGTTCATTGTCGAATTGGATTCGTAGGGATTCGTTCTTCGTTTGGGTGCACTGTAATCGCATTAGCTTCAACAGTTCAATGGTCTCCATCGTATAGTAGAAGGACGTCACTATCCACATGAAACCCAGAAAGTATCCAAACACTTTGTAGCAGTCCTTAGTACACATTTCTTCGGTTGGTTTTAGTCTGAGCTGTTTTGTATAAATAATTGTCGAGCTGCAACGAATGACAAGTAACATTGAGATGCATAGTAGGCCCCGTAGTGTGATTTTTTTTCATCGCGGGTTGGTAAAAACAAAGGGTCTATCTACATTGATTTTTGATATGTTTAATGATGGCATTAATCGCTAAATGGAAATGAACATGGTCCCAGCTCTTACTACTACAACGGATTTAACTGGACGATTTATCTCTAAGATCATTAAATTTACATTGTTATCCCAGATAGGCAATCAAAATCGAACTGGTTACAGTTGCAGGTATACATTATCTCTACAGTGTACAATTGCTTAACCAGTGACATAAAACTACAAGGGACATCCCTACGGGGTTGTACGCAATGGTGACGTAGGACTACGTGGACTTATATAATAAATCTTACTTGTTAACTGCAGCAGGAGCTTGTGTCTTGTGTAGGAATTGGAATTTGAGCGGGGTTCTCTCTGTTTATACTCTTTAGTATGCTGCGCTTGACATAGATGGCCCACAATGACTCACGAAGAGCTACTGATTCCGATCAATAGCTGTGCGGCTTCTTCCTCCTTCTATGGATGCTCATGTCGGCTGCAGCTCGCTGCTTGCAGGCAGCCTTTCGTTGTGTACTGGAGAAGACCACCACTCACCACGCGGTGATTGAATAAATACCCTTTGGTCAGACCAGATGGAATTCAACTTTGAAATCTGTGTTAGAGAAATCGCTTTTCGCAGGCAATCGGCGATAATTTTCATTCGTGCAATTTGCAATAGTGACATTTTGAAAAATAATAAAGTCAGATGTGTCGAAATATTTCTGATCGATTGGTGATAAAATTCTTGAAATTGATCCAGGGCAGCTGAGTTATTAACGTTCAAAATATTTCATAATTTTGTTACATGTTCCATTTTCGGTTTTCACAAAGTGTACCCCCATATAGAAATCACAGGAGTAGTCCTACGTCAAAAGTGAAAAAGTTTTAGGCGTTAACCTGTATATCCACCTTTGGACCACCTCAAATCATATTCTCAGCGATCAAGATTCCTACCAATAGTGCACCAAAGCAACCATTTATGCTAGCAACACCGCAGTACGATGCTATTATAATACCGATGTTCAGCCAGATAATTGGATCCTTATTAGGATCCAGGAAAACTTTCAGATGCACATGTTCTGAAACAGAAGCTTGTTTCAAAACGGGGGTCCAAGGTGTGTTAGAAGGGTCCAAATATCTTCTATAAGCTGCACAGTTCTATACTTTGTACCAAATGTTTTCAGTTCGTTATATCTGTAACACGCACGGAGTCCATTTTAAACTACTCAAAATTGTTTGTTTATACCCTGGACAGACTATGGCTTATACCATGTAATATAGGCTGTCTTGCAATGAGCACTCATACATCTAGTTTTCACTGGAAATCCTATGTATGAGTGCTTATTGCAAGACAGCCTATATTACATGATATAAGCCATAGTCTGTCCAGGGTATTAGGGTTGATGCATATATTATGTCACGCTCTAAGGGGGGAGGGGGGTCTAATATTTCGTGACAAGCAATGCATTAGGTACAGGAAAAACGTCACGATAGGGGGGGAGGGGATAATTTTTTGCTCGATTTAGCGTGACATAATTAATTCATGGGCCCTTATTAACTACTAAAATCAGTTCAAAAATTTAAAAATCCATCATCACCATCGTATGTTAATTAGTTTTTATTTTAAAGCTACAACAATTATAAAAAAGTCGTAAAGGAAGCTCCACAAATGATGTAGCATTTTAGGGTGACCAGTCATGTAAAAAAACGCTACAATGGAGAGGGGGTCCAAAGTTGGTGCTTCATCAAACATTTTATACACACTTGCCTGGTTGGACCAACACTGATGTAAACCGGGCATCATGGCCGGTTTACACTAGTGTTGGTTAACTAGCATTGATAATGCTGCTGCTGACAAAAATCACCATCAGTATGATGTAACTACTTTAACTAATCATGTTTGTATTACTTCATGCGTGAAGTTAACGATTTACATAGTTGGAGATGCTTAACGTCAAATATCAGTATAGACAGTTGAGGAGATGAAAGTATAGAGTTGCTAGTTTTGTCAGAGTACGGCAGTGTGAAAAATGTATATAGAGAGTAGAAAGCGAGCAGGAAGGTTCGGAAGTTTTGTTAAGGAGATGATCAACCCGACCAATTTTGAGGAAGGTACGAATCGGGTTGATCATCTCCTTAATCAAATTTCCCCGTTGGGAGAACTCAAGGGTCCCTGCTCCTCAACCCTTAATATTATCATCTGACTGGTGTTTTGGATAACTTCACTCATCGCCTTCACCATATTATTTATCCAAAATGTCTCAATCGGCCTGAAATGTTGACAATAGGGTGGGTTGAGGTCTTTTGGAACAAAATAGATTTCTTTAACCTCGTAAAATCGTAGCACATACTACTGTAATAGCAGGTGTGGTCAAAACTTGAGAGGGACTTCGGAGGATTGAATTTATGGATACATTCCAGCTTAAAAAACTGCGCTATATTGTCTTGTATATGGTGAAAACCTTAGTCTTCTGACCGCATCTAAAAATTTCACAGTCGAATCATGTAGAACCGTGCTAATTTATCGGCAAAATAAAGTAGTTTATCGGCAAAATAAAGTAGTTTATCGGCAAAATAAACTCCGAGAACCGGCTAAGTAATTGTTTTCTCCTGGTAGCGGTGACTTTTTGAGCAAACACACACGCTGGTTTTGAAACAGACCATGGTAACTGTGCATTATTATTTTCCCATTTTTCTCTTGCATCTTATTTTTGTTTGAAACACGTTTGATTTGCGATGTGAAAAAAAAAACTCGACCCTTATTATTATAGATATTTTAAACACGTAGACGTCAAAAGTTTCAAAACTCGTCACCTTGGAACGCTATAATAGCCAAAAATGATTGCCCCATTTGATCAATTCCAGGCCAAATAAGATAAAAAATGAAAATTTTGACTTGGCCCTCTCCGATTTGCGTGGAACTTTGCATAGTAGTGTGTTTGGGTAATTAATCACATTATTACAACAAAAGGCTTTTTTTATTTTGTCATATACCCAAGTAACCATCAAGTCCAATAATCGCCCTTTTTGCAATATAAAGCTAATATACGGCTGATAAAAGTATGGAAGCCCTATATTAACCTTATATTGCATAAAGGGCGATTATCGGGCTATTAGCGGGCTTGGTGGTTACTTGGGTATATTATAGTTACTTCAACGCTCTCGGGTCATTCGTGACTTGTCCGGGGCGAAATTTGACTTCGTGAGTTCGGCGTGAGAGGTATTGTAGCACGGAAACATAACTTCTAATCGAAATGACGTCTGAGACAAAAAAAAATAAAAGAATTAAATCTTTATAGAAAATATATACACGGTCATTTGTTTTTTTTTTTTAATTAAGAATATTTTTTTTAAATATTTATTGAATATTTATAATTTATTTATTAAGTAAAACTGATGAAAAAAATAATAACTATGGACAATTGAAAATTGACAAAAATCGTAGAACATCAAATTTTGGCAATTTATTTAATCTTCTTGTTAACAAGATTGTTACGTAATTTTTGGACGTATAACGATTAAGGATGTTCAAAATATTGTTTCCTGTGTAGAAATTACATAAAAATGCGAACTAGTTTTATTTTTATTTTTTTTTTTTTTTTAACTCTATTTGTTCCAAATTCAAAATAAATTACATTTCATTTTTAACCTAGGTGCTCCAGTTACTACAGTAACTTACCAGCCTTAATTGTTATGATATATATCTAAGTGTTTTTACATTGTTCCTGTCTTGGCAATTCAGTATTTTAAAAAGGTTTTTTAAACCTGCATGTCAGTATAACAATTGATAGCTTAAAACTAAATAACTAAAACTAAATCTTATCTAAGTATAAATGGAATTAATCGTTGCAATTGAGGATTATAACGATTTTTGCCGGAAATTATTAATTATTTTGTTGGACATTTGTGCTAAAGTCTCAACATTCGAAATTCTATGTACTTCGGTAGTACTGTACCAGGAAGGCAACTTCAAAATCATCTTCAGAATTTTGTTCTGAATCCTTTGAAGTGCTTTTTTCCTGGTAGTGCAACAACTAGACCATATTGGCACAGCGTAAAGCATGGCCGGTCTAAAAACTTGTTTAAATATTAGAAGTTTATTCGTCAGGCAAAGTTTGGATTTCCTGTTAATAAGAGGATACAAACATTTTATATGTTTGTTACATTTGGCTTGAATGCCCTCAATGTGATCTTTAAAAGTTAATTTATGGTCAAGTATTAATCCAAGATATTTCACTTGGTTTGACCAGGAAATTGGAACTCCGTTCATAGTGACTATGTGACAACTACTAGATTTCAAAAAGGAAGCCCTGGGCTTATGTGGAAATATTATAAGTTGAGTTTTGGAAGCGTTGGGAGAAATCTTCCATTTTTGTAAATAAGAAGAGAAAATATCTAAACTTTTCTGAAGTCTGCTGCAAATAACACGAAGACTTCTTCCTTTAGCGGAAATGCCTGTGTCATCAGCGAACAAAGATTTGTGGCAACCCTGAGGCAAATCAGGGAGGTCCGAAGTGAAAATGTTATACAATATAGGCCCAAGAATGCTACCCTGAGGAACTCCTGCTCTAACAGGTAGTCGATTAGATTTGGAATTTTGATAATTTACCTGCAGAGTTCTGTCAGTTAAATAATTTTGAACTAATTTCATAATATAAAGTGGAAAATTAAACTTTTTCAATTTAGCAATCAAACCTTCATGCCAAACACTGTCGAATGCTTTTTCTATGTCTAGAAGAGCAACTCCAGTTGAGTGGCCTTCAGATTTGTTTGAACGAATTAAATTGGTAACTCTTAAGAGTTGATGAGTAGTTGAATGCCCATGGCGAAATCCAAACTGCTCATCTGCAAAAATTGAGTTCGTATTGATGTGAAGCATCATTCTATTCAAAATTATCTTTTCAAAAAGTTTACTTATTGAAGAAAGCAAACTTATTGGACGGTAGCTAGAAGCTTCAGCTGGATTTTTATCCGGCTTCAAAATTGGAACAACTTTTGCATTTTTCCATTTATCAGGAAAGTATGCCAAATGGAAACATCTGTTAAATAATTTTACCAAGAAAGACAAGGTACTCTCTGGGAGTTTTTTGATGAGGATATAGAAAATTCCATCATCACCTGGAGCTTTCATATTTTGAAATTTTTTAGCTATAGACCTTACTTCGTCCAAATCAGTCCCCCAGGAATCATCAAAAATATTTTCCCGAGAGAAAATGTTCAGATAATCCCGAGCAACCTGATTCTCAATAGTACTAGTAAGACCCAAACTGAAATTATGGGAACTCTCAAATTGCTTAGCAAGTTTCTGAGCTTTTTCCAAATTTGTGATCAAAATTTTACCACCTTCTTTAAGCGCTGGAATTGGCTTTTGAGGTTTTTTCAAAATTTTTGTGAGTTTCCAAAAGGGTTTGGAATTCGGGTCTAATTTAGAAACATTATTTTCAAAAGTTTTGTTCCTCAGGGCAGAGAATCGCTTTTTAATTTGTTTTTGCAAATCCCGCCAGATAACTTTCATGGCAGGATTGCGTGTTCTTTGAAATTGTCTCCTACGGACATTTTTAAGACGGATCAAGAGCTGAAGATCATCGTCTATTATAATTGAATCGTATTTAACCTCGCATTTTGGTACTGAGGCAGCTCTAGCTTCAACTATAGAAGTAGTCAGAGATTCAAGAGCATAATTAATTTCATCTTTGGTTTGCAAAGGAATGTTTGGATTGAAGTTATATTCCATAAATGTTCGATACTGCTCCCAATCAGCTCTATGGTAATTGAAAGTAGAGCTGTTGGGATTACAAATTATTTCTTGGGATATTTCAAAAGTTACTGGAAGGTGATCAGAACCGAAGTCAGCATGGGTAACCAGTTGGCTACAAAGTTGACATGAATCAGTTAAGACCAAATCAATAGTGGAGGGATTTCTTGCAGAAGAAAAGCATGTTGGGCTGTTTGGATATTGAATAGTGCAATAACCTGCAGAACAATCATCAAACAGAATATTACCATTGGAATTGCTTTGAGCATTATTCCATGAGTGGTGTTTTGCATTAAAATCACCAATAATGAAGAATTTAGACCTATGACGGGTAAGTTTCTGGAGGTCACCATTGAGAAAATTTTTTTGCTGGCCTACGCATTGGAATGGCAAAAAATGCGAACTAGTAAAAATTTCAACAATTACACCAGAAGTTCTTGATCAACGATTTTTGTCAATTTTCAAGTGTTCATGGTTGTAACAACAATATGTGATGTAATGAATGGTTTATATAATATAGTGAAACGGAAAGATCTCACCAACTGCCTCCAATGTTAGCCAAATTCCAATTATAGATAAAAATGGATTGATCGCACCAAAACTGGTCAACTTTCCCGGGCTCTAAAAAAAAACTGCTTTTAAATGTCACAAATGTCACAAACTTCTTGATGTGGCTGCATCGGACGATTGGATGTTGGAGGTTCAGATTTCTGGGAGATTTCTGTTGTTGTTTTTTTTTCTGTCATAATTTTGTAACTACCACTTGACCGCGTTTATGCGAGGGGGGCAACTCAATTTTTTCGGTACATGACGTGATATTACGTGGTCCCTGATGGGGATATCTGAAGTTTAGCATAATTTTTCAAACTTTTTCTAGAATTTATAAATAACTAACGAAAAAACCAGCACTTTATTCTATCGATGAAAAACAAACGGGGAGCGAAAGTACAAACTCGTCATTCTTCTTTCTCTGGTCCCCTTAAATATTTTGAATTAAAAATTCACGGAATTTTTTTGAGCTGTGTCTGGAGCCAGTTACAATTTTTTGTCGAATTGAACTGATTGTTCTTTGCAATTTTCATTACTTGACAGTTTTCAATAAACAGCACACGGAACACCAACCGAAACTACCCGTAACATGAAAAGTCAGAGTAAAGCTCAAAAAATCTACGGGAGAGAAGATATTTCAAGCTGAACATTGCATTAGGCCTTAGTAACATTGACAGATTCTCTGCTTCGACTTTCTTTTTGCATCTCCACGGCCAGGTAAAGACATTCCAAGGTATTTTCAGCACACCGATCGATAAAAGAAGCTTTGTACCCCGTACATACTATGACTTATATCATGTAATATAGGCTGTCTTGCAATCAGCACTCATACATATGATTTCCAGTGATAACTAGGTTAGGTTATCTTCATTAGCGAGACTTTCAACCAGAGATTGTTTCATCTCTTTGCAGTGATAACTAGATGTTTGAGTGCTCATTACAAGACAGCCTATATTACATGATATAAGCGATAGTCTGTACGGGGTATAACCATTAGAGTGATGCAAAATTTGAAATTTTCGCTCCACAATACTTAAGCGATTCCAAATCGGATCCTGACTAACCTCTCAAAATTTGAACCCATTTGGTGGGAAACTGAGATGGCACAAACCATTTGAAGTTTGTATTGGAATTATTATGGTAAAACCAAGATTTATGTTCATATATATCTAATAATTCACCATATCGGTCTGCTTCAAAAACTTTCAACTGTACTTGTAGGAAATTTTCCCAGCTACAACTTTGCTGAAGACCACTTTTTGATTAAATGCAAGGATCGAAAGTTATCAATGGTTCAATGCGCTGATGTCTTATGATCATGCTCAATCAACTGCTCAGCAGGCAACATTGGTGTTTCTGGGGCGTTGAATAGGACACAAAAATCATGGCTACTATGTCACACTGCAAAATACAGTGTTGCCTACAGAGCAGCTGCTTGATCATGTCATAAGTTTACCAATCTCTTAAATAATTAATAACTTTTTCCCGTCTCGTTTTACATAGAAACGATTTTCAGCAATGTTGTAGCTGAGAAAATTTTATAAAAGAATGGCTATCGAACTGTTTCGCAGCTCAATATGGAAAAATACTAGAAGGCAATGAACAAAACGTTCAGATTTCCCATAGTAATTTACATGTAAACTTCAAATGGCTTGTGCGAAGTCTGTTTCTAACCAAATGAGTTGTAACTTTGGGAGGCTAATCAGGACCCCATTTAAGCACTGTGGAGCGAAAAAGTCAAATTTTGCATCAGTCTAATAACCATAGAGGTAACTCTAAGACCAGAAGGTCCTGAAGAAACGTGCTCAACTTTTTGGCTCAGCTCTGGTACTATCTTCGGTCCCAAGCTAATCGATGCACCCCTCGAAACATAGGAAAATCCACGAACCCCTCATTTTATCTGTCAAAATGTCATAGCGAATCAAAACAAACTTAGTGTAGTGCTGTAATTTCGACTAGAATGGGGTAGGCTTATAGATTTACTTGGGACCAATAGGCTAGTCAAGTAGTGAGCCAATTTTTAATCATTAATTTCCACCGGTTGGTATAATGCTCAGCCCTGTTCAACTTGCTTGAAAAAACAATCGAGCAATAAACTGGACTGGAGTTCTATTTCTGGTGCGTCCTGGATAAAAACTCTAGCATCGGTTCCGAAGAACAAGAGCTGCTGGTGCAGAAAATCTACCGGTGGACGCAAAACTTTCATTTTCAATGCATTTTCTGCGAGTGCACGAAGAGCATTGAGCACCAGCCGCATCGAGTGCCATAAACACGCTTGGAGCCACCTCAAATCTCAGCAAGGTTAGAAGATTAGTAGCCAGCTCATGATGGTTTGCAACAAAGTGGCTTATTTCACCTTTTCTGTAGACGCTCGCAAACCAGACGCAATCCACAAACGTCGTGTGTCCGCCCAAGCAAACTGTCGGGGAACAGTCAAAGCGGATCGATGCCACTTCAAGCAAAAAAAGGCCTTCACAAGAATTAGGTCTAGTGATTTGTTTCTGAACGAACCTAAACCTAATCCCAATTGGCCACATGGCCTTTCTTTTGATTTAGATTCTTTTGGTCTATTTAGTCCCCCAGCATTTGAGTCGTGGCGTCAGCGATGCCAGCCTGATGTTATCACACACAATAGGAGCAAGAAGGTTCTCCACCTGGACGAGAGTCGGGTAGTAATGCACCAGCCAACTCGCCCATTTCAGAGCACGGTTCCGTGACAGCAGAAACAGGAGGTATTTCCCGCACGAGATCGTCCACCATTCGGAAGAAGATCAGAAGGAGACTCACCAGCTACCAGGAAAGCTGGGTATATGGCCAGCGAAGCGAGACAGTGATAGTCGTGATCGCACGAATCCACTCATCTACGGTGGATCTCCAATGGCGCCGACGGAGTACAAGCAGCCAGAACAGAGCGAAAAGGCTGGTGCATCCAGCAGCAGTAGAATACATGATGGGCTCATCGTGAGTAAAAGAACATCTCTATAAATTATCCGTAGAAGGGTAAAGAAAGTGAAGAGGCTTAAGCTCAGGTTTAGATAAGGAGTAGGAGTCAGAATGAACATGGATGTTTCCTCGAGAATAAATCCCTGCAGATGGACAATTTAAGGTTGTCTAGTCGGCCGAACTATTGGCCTCGCATTCCCACCCCGATAGTTCGAATTGCTATACAATTTGGGGTGAACGTAATATTTTTTGATTTTTTTTTCGGAAATACAGCATACTCAACCTACCTTATACCTCGAGTTATTGAATAAATATTTTCAAAGTGCCTTGTTTTGTGTTGTCTGGGACATCAAAAGATTTCCTAGATATTGCTTCAAATGCACCAGATGTTATCCACACTTGCATTCCAAAATATACTGAAATTAAAAAAAAAGAATCATGGGAGAATTGAAGAAAAAACGTGATGATTCATTACAATAAGTTGCATAGGGTTTAATTTATATGTTTTGATTTGATACATCATTATCGTCAAACCTAATATATCAACATGTTCTATAATATTCTTCAGCTATCTACGGCATTTCTTCCCTGCAGTATCATACTGTTCAAAACATAAACGGTTTACGAATAGGCAAACAAACATCCTAAATAAAAAAAAAAAAAACTTGATACCTATATGCAAAGCCTTTAGTGCGACTCCTAAATATTCAATAATCCTAACCATTGTTTTGCATCAGCTTAAATTCTAGGTTCACAAATCAATCTGAAGGGTGGTTGCATTAATTGAATATATGATTTTATACACCAATCATGGCACGTTAAACATTATATTATATTTTGCCCAATACTATTTAGACTACCATGTGTCTCCATTGATACATAGCTAACATAGTTACATAATCTATACTTATTTGATGTTATCTATATTCATTTGAGCGAAAACCTAAAACTTGATAACTTTATTCAAAAATTAACTCAAATTAAAAAAAAACATCGCTGATTTTTTGATTTGTTGTGTAAAAAGCCTACAGTTTCAAGGAAAAATATAAAAACTAAAAACGTCCTCTGTCTACAAACCTTAAAAAAAATACATTCAATGTTTTTCAATAAATATCCCAACTCCAGTGGTTCAAAAGTTATGAATGATGATTGAATGAATGATTTTTTGACCACCTCAACATGGAAATGGTCACCTTACTGACAATATAAAAACATAGGTCTAATATTTTGCGATAAGGAGCAAAACTACCAATTTATACATATATAAATTTCTCTTCCATATTGTTTCATTTTTCTTGGTTGGCGTTTTCATCACCATCACCATTCATTCCGATCAGCCAAATGCCAAGCTCAAACAAAGGCATTCTACTCTTTTTTTTTTCGAATCACTCTGTGTACTCTGTGTTGCTCATCGCAAAACCCGAACAATAGATCAGTGCGGTATAGTCACACCGGCAACACTAGGGAAAAACATAATACAATAAAATAAAATTAAAGCACGCAGTGGAGCAAAACCAGAACCGAACTCACAATGAACACAAAGTTGAGAGAATAAGTTCATTATTACGGTTTTCAAGAAGGCCACGAGGCCTATTACGTCTTATCTGGAGCTTTACGCGTTCGTATTTTTGAGCACTTGTACAGCTATAAATTGAGAATGTTTGAAGCTTTCATTCATGTATTCTTACCAGACCTGAAATTGAACCTAATGCTTGTCTATTTTACATGACTAAGGTAGTTCCCAAAATTATCAACATCTGATTTCAATCAATAGATAGATAGATAATAGTTTTTCTTCACTTACCGATAGAAAGAACAAGCACAAAACCCCACAGTAGCATCAGCATAGAACTGTGACTTTCGTAGAATGCAGAAAATATTGCCAACCAACACCCGAATAGAAAGATCATATTGAAGTAGAGAAATATCCTGAATGACTTGACTAGCACACTTTTATCCTGAGTAACGAAAAAAAAAAAAGACAGATATCAACATTTCTCTCAATGGTCAAGAATCACAAGCATGCTCATAATTACCAGCGCAACGCCAACCACCATCAAAAGAGACATAAAGCATCCCAGGGCCAACATGAACACCAGAGCGGCATACGTCTCTATGTAATAAAAGGATATGGTTGAAACAAGGGACTTCAAGTTCAATAGAAGGTAGCTAACTGAAAGCCTGGTATGTAAAACTCCCGCACCACAACCCATTGAAAACTTACTCTTGTTGCAAATTTCCTGCGGAACATGGCTTCCAACCGAGTCGAATTTCGTACTGCTGCAGTTATCGCGCGTAATTTTCTCACTTACTTTGTCCGCTCCAACTGCGATGCTAATTGCACAGAATGTATTGCAGCATGCATAAAAGTAGCACAGAAATTTGAATGTAGTACCGGAGCACATTTCCGTGGTGCAGAGTGTCTGCTAACGAGCCGACTGGAACTAACGAGTGAGGGTGAATGCGCGACCCGCCTTTCACGACTGTGAAACCACTTTGGATTCAATCTACTCATCTGTGGCAAATGTATTCACGCTGTTTTCCCATTTCCATCCAAATCCATGGGCCGGGTGCTATTATTTATTGATACATCCCCGCACAACAACAATAAATCCAGCAAAATATGAGCCTCAAACGCTTTTCCCACTTTGAAAATTGGAAATGATTTGATTGTTGTAAATTTAGATTCATACTTTTCTTTAAAAAGGGCATCGGTTCATCGATGAGGTATGTGATTTGAAAGAAATACAATCCAATAGTTTTGAGAATCCATCCGTTGGTCATAATTTACCAAAATCCAATGGTCATTACCTAGAAATGAGAACATATTTTTTCCTTAATATTATGTATGCTAACATATCCTGCAGTGCTGAACATAACATCAAATATATAGTGTACATAAACTGACTGAGATTGAATCAGACCGGTTTCAGGGAAATGTCAAGTTTACATACAAAACGTCAAGTACACAAAAGAAAGTACACTTTTTACGCATTGGTTAGTAATAAAGATATATTTAAATGCTAAGGGACTCCATTACTACTCGTCAGCTGCGTTCAGACATTGTTTGAATAGTATTATAGTTGGTTGTTGCTTAGCTAAAAGTTGTAACTCGATCCAGATGAGCATCCAAGGTTCCAGCAAAATATTTTTAGCCAACGAAGTGTGCCTAATAACGATGAAACAGCGAGATTATGGGGGCAAAACCGTTCGTAATTGGAATGTTTTTTTTTCATGATTTATTATTTTTTAATATTTTATTTCTAGATTCTCAAACAGATCCCAAATCAAGACCAACATGTGAAAAGGGCTTCCACCTTTTTGTAAACAAACCTTCTTATGCCATTTTCTCGCCACCCATATGAACCCAACGCAAACCATCAACATCACCGGGTAGGGGAAACTTTCCCCTTCCCGATGTTGTTGTTGGTTTACGTGGGCGACCCTCGGTTGGCGAGAAAAGGGCCTACAAAGGTTTGTTTACAAAAAAGCTTGTATGCCCTTTTCACATTTTACTCTTGAAATGCAAAATTTCAGTAAAATCCGACAGAATTCAATGTTGTGCATATCGCTGAAGTTGAAAACTCCTTGAAAAGCTATATATTTTTTGCCGAGGCATGACACATTGATCTTCCAAGGTATTCTATAAATATGATTAGTTAGAAAGAGAGAAGCATTAGTAATTTCAATTTAATCCCACTACCTTAACTGCTTCCCAAGTAACCAAAAGTTCTGATAAAAGGCTATTTGTGGCTTAAGCAGCTTGGTTGGTGGTGGTCTATAGAATTCTAAGCAGCCGCATTTTTAAGTAGTTATAAGAACATGAAAGTTCCGGTATCATAATTGAAGAGCATTCTAAGCAGCTTCTGGCGGAACTTGAACGGAACTTTTAGAAAATAAATTAAATAAAGTTTTTGTCCTCTACACCCAATTCTAATGTTTAGTTCGCGCTTTTATGAAAGTAATTTCTAAAGGCAGTTATTAATGTGTATTGATTTATCACCATTAGTAGTATAATTGGAGCTATGTCCTTCTGCGTGAGAGCCCCAACACGGACCGCTGCGGCATCTGAGATATAATAAAGTGAGCTGTTGTACGGCCTACTGTTGGAGTTTTTAGTGCCCGCTGACTGACTTGAATACGAAACACAACACCTTGATGAATTTTAAATTGGTGTTTGCCCGCATGGTATTCCAACACATTTGTGGCGCAGTGGTTAGCGTTCTTAGATTGTATGCCGAATACACGGATTCGAATCCAGGAAATTACTTTTTAATTATTTTTTTATGATTGGACAGAATGTTGATGCACTGCACAAATATAAGAATTATGATTTATTCGGGCCACTGATCATTTAATATTTACGTACATGTAATTTTGTTACTAATAAAAACTTGTATTGAATTTTAACTGCTTACACTTCAACCATCTACTTAGATACTGCAAATCTTCATTCAAGTGTGAGACGGCAACTTCTAAATCCTTAGCTGCAATGAATAACACAGTATCATCTGCAAAAAGATTAATGTCGCAAAACCGTAAAACACGTCACAATTCATTAATATACATAATAAATAAAAGGGGCCCTAATACACTTCCTGGGGCACTCCAAGGTTGTTCCCCACGGGACTGGAAACATAATCATTAAAAACAGTCCGTTGAGTTCTGTCAGACAAATAGCTTTCAAACCATTTATATGCAGTACTCGTAATTTCAAAGCGCTTGATTGTACTTAACAGTAAGGGCCTAGAAATTGTTTCAAAAGCGCGTTTCAGATCCAAAAAAACAGCAACAATCGTATCTTTACGCTCCAAGTTGTCTTTCCACTTTGCTAACACCAAATTTAATGCAGTTTCACAAGAATGACCTTCCCGATATCCCGATTGTTCTGGTACACTGAAACCTCCGTTTACGAAGTCTTTTTTTACGCAGTATTCAATTTACGTCCCTCTTTTTACGAAGTAAATCCCAAATAACGAGGTTTTTTTTACGAAGTAAATCCCAAATTACGAGTTTTCTTTTTACGAAGTAAATTCCAAATAACGAGTTTTTTTTTGTGATTTTGGGAAACTGGGATATGCTGTGAAATACCTCACAATATGGGTATTTTTGGAATCGGAGTGACGTGTAGGGACCGGAAATCAATGTCTGACACCATTTTGAAATCCAAGATGTCGACTTCCGGTTGCAGAAAAACTTGGAAATTCTGCCAAATACCCCCATAATATGGGTATTTTTGGAATCGGAGTGATGTGTAGGGACCGGAAATCAATGTCTGACGCCATTTTGAAATCCTAGATGGCAACTTCCGGTTACATAAAACATGGAAATTCTGCCAAATAC